TCCACGTATGCTGCGACTTTCTCCTTTAGGAGGTCTGCAGAGTACTCCTCTATCCACGCAAGAGTACTTCCAGGATCAAACGTAAGTAACCCGCAAAACGTGGCTAATGTTTCCAACTGCGCCACAGCGGTGTCGACCAGCGTATCCTTGGTTACGGGCTCGATAACCGTCGCCCACTGCTCCGACTGTGTGGGTTCCATGTTTTCAGCTCCAGCCCCCGTTCCCTCCATCGCGTGATCAGTTTCTAAATTCTTTGCTTGCTGCTCATCACGAGCAGAGCCACCAAACTCAGCCACGGCCATACTGTCAGCCTGTTGATGCTGCGCTTCGGTAAACCGCAGCTCCTGTACACCTAGACATCGCTGGAACAAGTCCAGCGCCTCCTGCAAATATTTTGACGCTTCTTGTGTATGCTGCTCGGTGGCCCGTCTACCCTCGGTGATTGCCTCTGCTAAGCTGGTCAATACCTGTGCGGTGTTGAAGAGGATTTCCGCATTGTCTTGTTGGAGGGTTAAGGCGTGCCTATGTGATTTGAGGGCGATATGGAGAATTTCGACGGGTGGGGCGGGGAGTTGAGTTGCTAATTTAGGGTGTTGGGTTATTTCGTATTGTATCCGTGCTCTATAGAGTAAAAAATCATGAAAGAGAAAATATGACTAGTCAGAGAGCAGGTTTAATCAAATATGCTGTGAAAATAGTATAATTTTGTCCCCTCAATGACCGAAAATGTTATTAGAGAGGGGGGGTATATGCCTTGAAACACCGAACAGGCGCGAGGTTGAGACAGTAACGTATACGTACTTATTGTAGGCCAAATCAAATGAATTCGGAAATCTCCTTAGACCGGTATCATACGTTTCAATGGCGCGCATGAAAAACCGCATGGATTTAACAGCATCTCCACCTCGCCATTTTTCTCCTGCTTCTTCTAGCTCAACGCCGGCTGGGACGCCGTTGAAAAATTATATTTTTTCTGTGGTCAGCTTCAGTGTCTGGTGTATGGATGTATGTATACATTTTCTTCCTGCTGCTCGCAGAGCTAATAATGATGGCGATGACGATGATATGATTAATTGACAATAACTTACCAGCAAGATACTCGTCCGAGGTTTCGGGCTCCTGGGAATGGAATATCAGGGGCTTAGTTAGTAAGGGCGGGCCAATTTTCAAAACGAAAACGAAAGCGAATAGGAAAGTGGATAAAGAGATTACGATAGAGCGAGAATGGCATTTTGAGGTGCAATGCAATGACCAGCTGAATTGGATTCGGGGTATACTGACAGTATTCCTTGCTTTCCTTTTCGTCTTTGTTTCCTTTAAAAATGTTTTTTGTTTTGGCATTGTGAAGAGGGAATCTGCTGTGTTGGGTGAGGTGGGGGGCTTTTTGCTTGTTTATATTGATTTGTTGGGAGTTTGATTTAAAAGAAAAATATAAAGCTAGTTATATGTATAAATAGAGCAAATAGAAGTTAAATAATTAAATCAAGCCAATGTTGTTTGATTGCTTCTCTAGGGCCCAAGAACGCCAGCAATTGATAAATGATAAACCTTGGATGAGGATGACGGCGGTGGGAAAAGGATGGCAGCGAAGGAATAGTGGGGCCTAACTCTAATGGGAAAGGTTTCGAAATAAGGTTAGAGAGATTGATAAGATTAGATCGGATTCGGATTATGTGGCCCGTGCATTCACCACAAGGTATTTTGACTTCATAATAATAGTCCCTACTATCAACCTATTCAATGATCATAGACACCTAGCTAATGGATATTCACTCGCCCCAAAACTTAGCCCTTCACGCCACCTACACCAAGCATCCTCATACTTTCCAAAAAAATCTTACTTATTTCTAAAACTTAGGGCAGCTAGCTCTCAATTCCACAGATCACTGAGACAAGAAAATCGAAAAAGAAAACCCGCAAGGATATATGTGTCATGCTCAAAGAGAGCGGTAGCATAAATAGAGGGGAGACGATATCTAGATATCTCGAAATATATCCCGAAAAGTTGGAGAATATCTGTACTACCATGAATAGTTTGCCTTGAAGTGTGCCCACACTCTCAACTCCAGAGGAAAAAAGGCTCAAAAAGGTACCGTACTTCAGAATAAATATGTATCTGAAATACTAGAACTAAATACGGAGCAAAGATGACTAGCCCATCTCTTTTCCCCTCTTCAAAGACTTCTCAGAGCCAGTGGCCTTGGGCAATGTTGAGCCCGATGCTGGTGCTGATCAGGAATGAACGATGAATAACGTATCGGTTCACCTCAAAGCCAGCAGAAAGACTAGATGCTAATCAGAGGACACAGAATATAGACAAAGTTTCTAGCTTATTGCGAAGAAATCCTGACCGCAATTCAATTATTCCTTCGCATGCCCTCGTTAGGGATTCCTGATTTGGAACTATAACTACAAATCCTCAACCTATCTCAGAATGGAAATCAAGCGGCCGAAAAAAATCAAATCTCTCATCTTGACAAGCAATCCTAAATCTCCCGTCATGAAAAGCCCCAAAAGCAAATTGCCATCTCTTTTATCATTCCCGCCCTCTTCGTTTGCTTGACCACATTGCGTTCAACTACCTCCGCTGGCCTGTCGACGAACTCACATGATGCAGAGTCAAGCAATTGAGGAACAGAACCCCGCCATTCTACCATCAGAGGCATTACGTCCCTGTTAACATTGGCCAGATTTTTAACAATCGATATCGAATAATTGCGAAACTCGGTTGCGGTGCTTACTCTACTGTTTGGCCTGCATGGAATGAGAGGTTTAACCCCCTTCTAAGCTTTCAAAATTACTTCATGGCGTCTCTTTGTTGCTGACCTCAAATACGGAACAAAAGAATATGCCTCGCTGAAAATTTCTAACCAGACTGATGTTTTCAATTCATCTCCTGTTCTCAACGAAATTACCATGCTTCAGTGGTTGAAGACGTTTGCTGAAAACAATCACCCTGGAATGATTTTACATGTCTTGCAATGAAACTTTTCAGATTAACAATATATTTGGTCAACGATACTGTTGTACTTCTAAGCCTCAAGGCAATAGTATCCGTATATTGCAGGAGAGATTTCCTAATGCAATGTTGCCAAAGGTTCTGGTGAAATTCTTGATAGCTCACTTGTTTATTCAGTGAACTAGCCACATACAACATGTGGTGTTGCACGCACGGGTAAGTTGATCAATGACCTCTTTGTTTGGTTCATATACTCACAATAATACAATAGACATTTTCCCCCAGAATATAGTAGTGCAGATTGTATAGTAGTGCAGATTGAGGATGGCTCCAGTCTTAAAAGGTTGAGGAGTAGGAGTCCCAGAACCCAAGTGGTCCAATAACCACAGACGACATGGCTCCTGTTTATAATGCCTCAACCTACTAAGCTGCAGCTCTCTGATCAGACACTATTTATAGGTTTTGGTCAAATGCGATTAGTGGAAGGATGTTTAAATCAGGATTGGCGAATGTCTGATTTATATCGTGCCCAAGAAGTACTTTTGAAACTGTGCCCAGTTGATCTATGGTCAATTGGTGTCGTGGTGAGTTCAATAAGCATCAGCATGAATATATAAACATGAATTAAAGATGAAGACAGGCTGTAGGAGAACGATCAATAATGGATATACATGCATGAAAACAGCGAGGTGCTCCCCATCGTTAGTAACTTCAATCACCGACCCAATACCGCCACCTCAAAATAAGAAATCAAGGCTAGATGCTAAGGCTCAGGGAATTGCCTACTAGGAGGGCGATAGATTTGTGAAATAGTTTTGTTTACTTCTCATTCCTTTTTCTAGCTTTGTACTCTTTCATTAGTAGCAAAATTATATATAGTTTACCTCCGGCTAACCCGTCCGCTCCGACACACACATTCTTGAATGATGGCGTAGACCCTCCTTCTAGACGACTCGGTCGAACACAGTATACATTTTTCGAAATAGAACCCCTTATGTAGTTTGAATGCACCCAAAACTGACAGTGGCCTCCTGTTGAAAAGAAAATGGGTGCTGCATTATAAGAAGGCTGCTTAAGAACTGCTAATATATGTTCATTGCGAATGGGAGTGTACTGATCATTAATCAGCGAGCCACTCCTTTCGTCTGCGTGTTCCCTTGTTAAGCATTTCAATTCTCCAACCCAGAAAGGAAGTCGTACGGTTTTCGGACCCTTTTGATCGATAGTCCTAAGTTGTGTGCAACCTGACGGGCGTCAAATTCATCTAACAACTTTGGGGCAACACGGAATCGCACACTTTGTGAGGTTACAGGTACGCAAACCCCACGCTCTCGGAACGTGAATTTTGGAATTTCTCAGCAAGTACTACGCATCTTCAAGGCTCATAATAGGGCAAAATTGACTCCTCAGGCTTCAAGGTATCGTTGAATACCGGATAGTCATGGCTAGCACTCAGCCTTACCCCGAACTGGGCCTGCAGCTGGCAACCACATAAGAAACAGACATTCAAGCAATAAGGGGCTTTTGTATAACATCCGTTGGCAAAAACAGAAGTGTTCCATTGCCAATGTTCGAAACCATGCTTGGAAGGGTAGCAGGGTTCTTAGAACAGGTAAAATATCAACCTACTAAACCACAGAACTGACAGAAATCCAGATCAAGTAATGAAAATCCGAACATATTACCTTTACAAAGCTAGTACGAGAGAGGACGATCAAGGAAAGCCAAGGGACAGATGGTATAGAGATGAAGTAAGAGGTCAGAATGACATATCCTAACATCCAGCTTCCTCCATACTCTCACGAGGATGTTTTACCCATTCTCTCAGAGCTTACATATCAACTTAATAGTAACCTTGGCTCCATAAAAAAATCACAGATCCCTTTTTAATAGAAAATAGGTCCAGTCTCTGGAGCAAGCAGAACAGAGAGAGCAAAAATAAAGAGCAGCGGCTGGGAGCACTTCTGATTTTGCCCCAACGTGAGCGAAAAGTATATTTCTCAATTTGAAACTACGGTGGGTGAAGCCTTGAGAACAACCAGCATCATTGGTCTAGTGGTAGAATTCATCGTTGCCATCTGACTCTTACCCATCTCTGGGTAGTCATGTGATCTAAACTCGATGAGGCCCGTGTTCGATTCACGGATGATGCATAAAAGCTTTATTTTTATTTTTATATTTTATTTTCCCGACATGCTGACCTTGGGTTGGGCTGATGCACGTTTGTAAAGAACTCTTCACTTACAATTAAAGCGGGTAGATTTTCTCAAACCAAGAGATTTTTGATGTTTTTTGTTTCCGTACTCATGTTTTTTAGAAAATCTTCACACAGTAATTAATTTCCGAGCGCATCACTATTTTATGTGCATAACTCAGAAAGGACTTTAACTGAATCTTGAGAATGGATGAGGGCTCGGAGGGTATTAAGTAATATCTCAAATGGAAAATATTTAGTTAAAGATTTGCTGTATATGCTTAATTCAGATGCAAAGAAGCCTAGCGTACGAACAAAGGTTTGTGATGCAAGTACTCCGTAAATTCAGCTAATTGGCACTTTTCAGTGGCACGTTCAACAACCCGGGAGATGGATACCTACTACTGTGCGGAGTACATCTAGCCGAAAACAAGGCTAGATGTTTGGAGTTTGAAACACAGGCATAGTGGACTCTTTTATATGTTCGTAAATATAACTGGAACACAACCCTCCCCCCCTTTGTAATATAAACGATGGCAGCTTCTTGCGGTTTCTCCCGACGAAAACAAACTGACAGAACTGAGCAGAACTGTGGCAGACCATATATGTGTGTATATGTGTGTATGTATGTAGAGACAGAGAGAGAAGAGAGAGGGTATCATGGCAGTCCAGCTTTAGGGTAAGGTACCTAGCTAGGAGTATGTACTGTACCAACCAAAGTACGGGGTACGGGTTACATCATACGGAATAGTTGAGCCAAAAATACTAGGATCCAATGATACTCTGAAGAAACAAGGGTGGTTCACGAAAGCTGGCATTTGACTTTATGCATATCTATTCGTTGTGCCAGCCCCTCCCACCTTGGATTATTAGCCTCCCCCTGGAGAAATAAGCGGACATGGATGGACAGATGGATGCTGGTGGGAAACCACACGTGGCATGACGGAGCTAGACAAAAGCACAGGGCATCGTCCTATGTCAACAATTACAAACCGCCATTGGCTAAGTTAACTAACTAGTTAGTTACCTACTCCCGTAGAGGTGGGTGTTTTTTTAAGAATCAAGGAGTTTTGGGGGAGGAGGAAAAAAACGGAGAAACCCAGAGGAATGGCTGAAAACCGATGGGTTGTTATTTAACTAACCTTTGTTAGCGGAGGAACGGCTTGTTTGACAGCTTGCTTGACATCGCGAGAAAGTATTTTCACAAGTCACAATTTAGCCCAGTTAAAATAATTTGGAAGCTTGGTTGCATGAGGGACTCCTCGGTACACAGTAAACAATGGCTTATCATTTTTATTTTTATGACGGGCTATTGTTAGAGGAGAAATCAACGCGGTCTTTTGTGCCAAAAACCCCGTCTGCCATTTCAAGCATCTTACCGTATCCCGTATAAAAGGTGTCGAGACATCAATAAGTCGCATTATGGATAGATCAGGCTACCGAGTACATCTGTACTTTCCCTGTAACTTACTGTCCATTGCCGTGAATTCTCGCGGATTCGCGTGGGAGTGGGAGGGATGGAAGCAATAATTCCCGCGGCGTGCAGAAGTGCTGTCATGCCAAAATGCGACATGGGCGCCCCCTGCATGTGATCATCCCTCTGTTATCTAGCCGATCGTGTCACCACAGTGAGGAGCCGAACCCAGAGCATGGAATTGAGCATTGAAGAATAAATGGCATGGCAATTCAAGTTCCTTATAGATGCATTTATTCAAGAGGGAAAAACATAGGCAGGCTCAATCGCAGCGATCTACTGAGTAATGTACTCTGTAGTGTTCATAAGAATGGGCATGAATGAGGGTTTATGAATATAAAAGTTTTGTTGACATCTGCTGCCTACATCTGGAAAACTCGTATCTAGCAGCCAAGTAAAGAATTCCCAGGGACAATATTCATCTCCATTTAATATATGGAGCCTACGGAGCATCATATCAATCATATTATCGAAGTTTGTTACTGTAAATTACCACGTTGGAATTGGGCCGCATGGTTTTGTCACAGCGATACTCCGTACAGTACCACCAATCCAAACGCCCGTACCTTGGCCCAATCCATCGTTTCCAATTATTCTGTGCCACCATTTTCCAACCTTTATTTACTCCAGACTGCGCTTTGCCAACGTCCCTCGTCTGCCTCATTGCCCTTCTCTGCACCATCCACGTTCACCTCCACCACCACATCTTCGCCGGACGCTCCGATCATTTCTCTTTTCCGGAACTGTTTGACAGGTTCCATTCTGCGCATAACATTCATCAGGCTTACCTACTGCGAGTTGGCGAAGATCATCCCCCTTGTACACAGCAATCGTCGATTTCTCTTATCGAACTTCGTAAGTCAAGCCCACTCACTCCCTTCGAAGAGTAAGAGGGAAAAATATTGCGCCTTGATGTGCTCTCTTTCTCTCACCCCCCTCCCTCTAACCGCCGATCAACTACTGCAGGATTGATTCCCTTAGTCAGTTTCTTTTCTCTTTGCAGAATGGGCTTTCTACTCTTTGCCCCATCATTTTAACTTCGCAGCTGGCCAATCCAATATTTCAGACTTCCGTTGATTGGAGTGGAAGGGTCCATCCGCATGTGCTGATTTTGTGATACCAGATCATCAACCCAAACCTCGATCATCCAGGCACGCAATCGTGAAATAAAGAAGAGCTAGAATAAAAGTAAGGGGAAAAAAACAAAAGACAGAAAACAGGCACATTGATTTGTCCCTGTACTCACTCTTTACTCCATTCACGGCTCCATACCGCTCCATACACTCCTAGGGTCCGTATATAAGAACTCTACCCAGTGAGAAGGGTCTGCCTTATTTCCCGACTGACAGGTGGGCGCATCAACCTCCTCCAGAAACCCTCGTTTCTCATGGCTCGACAACAGTCTCTGGATTCCCAGCGGCCAATAATGGCTCCTTCTGTATGGTTGTCCCAATTTTTTTCTCTTTTCCATTATACCTACTCCCTTCGCCCTTTTAAGCTCTCCTGCTTCTCCTCCACATCGACCTCTCGCCATCCAGAACCCCTCCAAAGCAAGAATAACAATACTGAGTGCTCCTCCAACCCCGCGCGACGAAAACAGGTCTCCTCACAACGAAATTCACAACGCTTCTCTACAATCAGTGGCTCCGGCTCCCTCGCCTACTCTGACCATACTGTCTCCAGCTCGATGACTGGCGATAGCCGCCTTGCTGAAATCAAAGAACTCGGAGCCGGCCTAGAACGCCTCGAAAACAAACCCCTCTCCCAGCAGCGATTTGTGCCTACCCCGGAGAAAACAGATGACCTCAACAAGCTTGCGCTGGGGGCGAAAGTCGAGCGTGCGTTGGGGAGGAGAATGTCCAGCCAGGACGCCGTCATGCGCAAGCGCGCTCCGTTAGATGATGAAAAGCAGGCCCTCAAAGTACAGGCAGGAGCTTGAAACACCACACAAAACAAGGAATGATGATTTTTTTTTTTTTTGTTGCATTGATATTAACCTTTTCTTTCCATTTTGTTTTCTCCCCTCTACAGCCACATGCAGCCCTTCGATCCGATGAAATAACATCTCCGCGCCTTATTATACATGATGATTGGAAGACCGGGATCCAATGACTACTTTGTGTCTGTTTACGTTTGTCTGTTTTATTCTGTATTTCATGGCCCTGTCGCCTCCGTTCGAGAAATTCCTGCCTTATTTATTAAGCCTGCCCATGCCAATTTTCCTTGCCTTTCCTTTGTCCTTATATATTACACGCTCCTCTATCTTTTTTCGTCCAACGAGTTATACCAGCCGTTCTTGATCTTTTCTTTCTTCCTTTCGTTCGTCAAACTTGAGCGTTCCACAAACGGCATCCATGTTATATGACTCTCTTTTTTAGGTTCTATCATGCTTTTGCTCTTCTTCCTTCTCTTCTTCTTTGCACATAAACCTTCCTGAGATGATATGATTCTGGTTTTCTCCTTTGCTTTCCTTTCCCTCCCTTTCCATTCCTCTTTGCTCAGCATTATATTTGCCCCTTGATATATTGACCCTTTCCGTCCAACACTATCAGCTTGTTCTGGATTTGCCTACTACCCCTGTGAGATTTGCAAAAACTAAAAATAAAAATATAAAAATTTCATGAATTAGATGTCCCCTCCATGTTTATTTTAGCATTAAGTATGTTCTGACTAGTAGCTACTACTACTACTACTACTACTACTACTACTACTACTACTACTACTACTACTACTACTACTACTACTACTACTACTACTCCTACTACTATTACCACTATTTTACAGCAGGATCATGTTTACGCTATCTCTGTGAAATCTCCAAAGAGAAAAATAATATAAAATAGAGTAAAGAAAAGACAAATCATGAAAAGAATAAGTGAAATGATGCAAGGAAAAGGGATCAGTGAAATATGAAATAAGTAGAGCTTCTTTCCACCCAGATGTAAATGGTTTCTGTGCATCATGTTCCGTATCTAATGCTGCTTTATTTCCACCCATATCACACCACTCGCTTGTTCCGGTATTCAGGCCTCAACGGTAAGTACTTCACTCTCCTCTATGCATGCAGCCTCATTTACCTCGCAGGTATAACTGTAGTGCATATATGTGGTTGCATCCCTCGCATATGAAGAACCAGGGAGAGAATTTGAGCAGTGAGTGTAAAATAGTATCAAGCTACTGAGGAAATGCAATATTACACTTTCTGTTTTCTTTCTTTTCTTTTCGTATACGTTTTTATATCTTTTTGCCGACTATAGGTAATATTTTGCGAGCTCGATTGAACTAACTATTTTCATATACGGAGTACTCTGAGCTGGGTGAGCATGCTAGATTTGTTCAAATGGAAAAACTGCTTCTTCTCGAAGACGTATTAGATAACGACCTAACTTTTAATTTTTAATTATTTTTACCTGTTAAAATAAATCGAGACATAATACAATACGTTTCTTTATTGAATATAGAACATAATTGATACATTTGGGTGT